CTTCTCCCAGTTTCTCCACTGGTTATACCTGACACAGTTACATACAGTACAATACCACAACCAGGGAACTGACACTGCGATGAAGCGTGTGTAGCGTTCTGGGTCATGGTAGCACATTCGTGTACCCACTACCTCGACAGAGATGCAGAACTATTCCATCACCATGAAGCTCTCTCCCATGCACCCCATTTGTACCCCTGGCAACCACTAATCTGTTTCCGTTTCTATCATGGTCTCTTCTCAGAATATGATATAAATGGAACCACATAGTATGTGGCCTTTTGAGATTGATTTTTTCACTCAACACAATCCCCCTGAGGTCATCCAAGCTGCTGCGTGTATCAACAGTTCATTACTTTTTATTGCTGAGCAGTATTTCATGGTATGAATGTACCACAGTTTGTTTAATCATTCACCTACTGGAGGACAGTTTAGTTTTCCCAGGTTTTGGCTATCACAAATAAAGCTGCTATGAACAATCATGTAAGGGTTGTTGTATGCAAATACGCTTTCATTTTTCTGGAATAAATGCCCATGAGTGCAACTGATAGATCATATGATGTGATGGTTAATTTTATGTGTCACGTTAGATGGGCCACAGTGCCTAGATATTTGGTCAAATGTTATTCTTATTATGTTTCTCTGAGGGTGTTTTAGGGTAAGATTATCATTTAAATGAGTGGACTTTCAGTGAAGTAGATCCCTCCATAACATGGGTGGGCCTTACTCATCAGTTGAAGACCTTAAAGAGAAAGACTAACCTCCCCCATGGAAGGAGGAATTCTGCCAGCAGACAACCTCCAGTGTTGAACCGTAACATCAGCTCTTCTCTAGCCTGCTGGCCCACCCTACAGACCATGGCCTTGCCAGCATCCATAACTGCCATAAGCCAATTCCTTAAAATAAATCTCTCTCTCTCTCTCTATATATATATGTATATGTACATATACATCCTACTGATTGTTTCTCTGGAGAATGGCTAGTATTTATGATAAATATTAATATATGTTAGTTTATTGAGAAACTGTCAAACTATTTTCCAGAGTGGCTCTATCATTTTACATTTCCATTAGCAATGTGTGAGAGAGATCTAGTTTCTCCACATCCCTATAATTTGGTATTACTGACACAATTTTTTCATTTTAACTTTTCTTTTTCTTTTTTTTTTTTGGAGACAGGGTCTCGCTCCATAGCCCAGGTTGGAGGGCAGTGGTGTCATCATAGTTCATTGCCACCTCAAACCCCTGGGCTCAAGTGATCCTCCTGCCTCAGCCTCCCGAGTAGCTGGGCCTATAGGCATGTACCACCACACCCAGATAATTTTTGTATTTTTTATAGAGATGGGGTCTCACTATACTGCTCAAGCTGGTCTCGAATTCCTGGCCCCAAAGGATCATCCCACCTCAGCCTCCCCAAAGTGCTAGGAATACAGGCATAAGCTCCTGTGCATGGCTTTATTACAGCTTTTCTAATAAGTGTGAAGTGGTATCTCATTGTGATCTTAATTAATTACCTTAGTGGCTAGTGATATGGAATATCTTTTCATGTGGTTATTTGCTACCCATACATATATGTTCTTCAGTGAAATGTCCCTTAATGTCTTCTGACAATTTTCTAATTGAATTTTTTTTCTGTTGAGTTTTGAGAGTTCTTTCTAAATCCTAGATATGAATGCTATGTCAGCTATGTGGTTTCCACGTATTTTCTCCCAGTCTCTAGCTTGTCTTTTCGCCCTCTAACTAGGGTTTTTCACAGAGCAAAAGTTTTTAATTTTGATGATACAATATATGAGTTTTTTCCTTTTAAGAAAGTTTAGCCATATTTTTGTTCTTTCTGTTGTTCCTTCCTCCTTCCTAATGTACCAAGATTCCTTCATTTATCATTTCTTTTCTGTTTAGAAAACTTCATCATTCTTTTAGGGTAAGTTTGCTGGTAATAAATTGTCTTAGTTTTTCCTGCATCTGAAAATGTCTTGATATCCCCTTCATTCCTGAAGGATATTTCCTCCAGATATATTAACAGAATTTCAGAGTTCTTTTCTTTCAGCACTTGAAGAACGTGCCATTTCTTCTGCCTCCTGGTTTCTGATGAGACATCCACCGTCATTCAAATTGTTTTCCCCCCAAGGGAAAGGTGTTGTTTCTCTCTCCCTGCTTTCAAGATTTTTTTCTTGTCTTCAGTTTTCAGAAGTTTGACTATGATGTGTCTTGGCATGGATTTCTTTGGGTTTACCCTGTTTGGGATTTGCTTGATTTCTTGTATCTGTAGGCTTCTTCTTTTCCAAATGTTTAGCCATTACTTCTTTGAATACTTTTTCAGCCCCATCCTCTATCTTCTTTCATTCTGAGACATCTACGACGTGAATGTTCCATCTTCTGTTATAGTGCCCCATGTCCCTGAGGCTCTATTCATTTTTTCCCAAGTCTATTTTCTCCCTGTTGTTCAAAATGAGCAATATCTATTGTTTCATCTTCACCTTCACTGATTCTTTCCTCTGTCCTCTCCATTCTGCTATTGAGCTCATCCACTGAGTTTTTCATTTATCGTATTTTTCAGTTCTAAAATTTCCACTTAGGTCTTCTTCATGTCTTCTATTTCTTTGCTGACACTTTGTATTTTTTCACTTGTTTCAAGTGTGCTGCAATTGTTCACAGAAGCATTTTTATGATGGCTGCTTTAAAATCTTGCCAGATAATTCTAACATCATTGTCATCTCAGTGTTGGTATCTGTTGTCTTTTCTCATTCAAGGTGAGTTCTCCTGGTTCTTAAGTGATTTTCAATTGACACCTGGACATCTTGGGCCTCATGAGACTCTGGGTCTCATGTAATCATGTACATTGCAGGCAGAAATTCCAAAGTAGTTTTAAACACCTGATTTTCATGGACCACATACTATGTTTCAGAGCACACGTTAAGGTTTACTTACTAGTAAGGTTCTCCGTTTTTCAAAAAAGTATCTTGTTCCTTTGGGCTTGCACTTGCTTTTAACTCCTTCACTATTACTCTTGCTACGCTAGTGCCTGTGTAAATCTCTCCAAGGAGGACCTAAAATCAAAGAACATTTTCTGTGTTACTTCCATCAGAACAGTAAAGAAGTACATCTCATTTACCAGGTAATGGAATACTGGAAAACAAAACAACAAGTAGATGGCCTTCTATTATTTTCCATACTAACTCACAAAAAGCTTGCAAAACTCAAATATTTTTCTTCAGGAAAAGGACCATTTTAAACCATTCATCAGATATTTGTAACATTCATATATTTTTATATATTTCTTTTCTATTTATTTTTAAATGTATTATACTTTTTATTTATTTATATTTGATTTATT